ACAGGGCTTATAGATATGCAAATGTGGAAAGACAGTGGAGTAATGGGGTGCCACAACGCAGCACACCAGGAGCAGTGGGGGGTTAGGTGCTTTGCTCTAGGTCACCTCGGAGGTCGCCCAGGAGGCGGAACTGGCACCCACCAAGTCCCTATAGACTGAGCTACTACCACACCAATAAAGCATAGTCTAGAACTGGTATATAATGTATAGTATAGTTACTGTATATTTTTTATTTACATTTTTATCTTATTTCATATGAAATACACTGTCTTTCTGGCAGAAAAAACAACCTATAAAGTAAGTTCTCAGAGCATGCAGATAATCAGCTTTATAACAGTGACTATCCAGGACCGCCAACTTTAAGTCTAGCTTAGCAAGTTAATTTAAATAATTCCTATGGTTGAATAGCCTTCATAAGATCCACTGGTGTTTTGAAATCCTGCAACACAATGCAACTTGTCACTGACTGTCACGTGGCCAAAAGCCAGGCCAGAATGCTGCATCTCCTAATTGCCTTGAAGGAGTGTGAGTCATGATAGGAAGGGTGCATGCTGAACGAGTAACGCAGAGGAAGGATGCCAGACGTGTGATCTAGCTCTTCAATTCATAGTTCAAAAGACAGCAAATGATGTCAGTGACTGAGTTCCTATCTCTGTAGAGACACTAGATGCACAAGGCATTCAAGTCTGGTCTTGACACTATGTGTGCTGGCTGTACCATCAACGCAGCCCCTTCAAAGTGTAGAATTGGCAGCAAACATGTTGTTTGCTTATTTGTGGAGCAGTGTCAAGTTGTTTTAAATGCCATCCCAACTGCTCATACAGAGATCGTCAAGGAAGGATGATACAACATCAGTGTACTATTTAAAATCATGACTTCCTCCAAGTAGGAGACAACTGATTCCCATCTAGTTTGTATCTGCTTCTTCTTCCACAAATTATATCATGAGGTAACTATCGTGTTGTCCTGTCACATCTTTAGTCTTACTAAAGGATTCACCTTAACAGGTTTAAATGAGCCAATGTTTTTCCATATCAACCTGAAAGTAATAGTTTGACACAATGACAAAAAGATTTCAGGAAGCCACTGCACAAGGAGAGATATAAGGGGACAGCGCTGGGCTGTGTGGTGATTGTGTCATAGTGGCCACACTTGGTATTGCATGAACATGTGATGCACAGTGGCCAAAAAAGTATTTTATTTCTCAAACACTATTATTAGAAAAGGACCAGCTGTATCACAAAAACACCTCAAGATATTCTGTGAATGAACGGAATTTGATCCATTTCACCCAAAACTATTTAGAAAGTCTATAGGAGCCGTGTCATTTATGTCATTTGTGTGTTCAGGAAGCTAACAGGAAGTCAGATGACTCAGCCAGAGGATGACTTAGGTCTGTGAGCACAAATATCCAGAATTCTAAAAAACTATTTTGGCATGCGCGTCCAGTGACCATATGAATGAATGAGGCACCATCCTGAAACACAGTATTATTAACTCATCCATGATAACTCCCCTTTTACTCCTCAAGATGCTAAGATTAATTTGGGTTCTAGCTGCATGCACAGACATGGCAGTATGGCTCCTAATGTAACACACATGCATGGAGTGAAACTGGAAGGTTAAGGAAATATCTCACAGAAACAGCAGAGTTTGCTAACATGAGTGAAACCACACTGAGCACTAGAGTGTGACATTGTGTTCATATGGCCTAAAGCCATAAATTGTGCAGCACCAACCTAAATACAAGAGAGGAGAAAAAAGGAATGGTTGACAAACAGATGGTAAGCTTGCGCCTACATAGGTTTTTTATTTTGTCTTTCAGTGTAAAAACTTGTTAGTTGCTTACTAAAATCATCTGCTCCACCTTTGCCACATAGTTCTAGGTTTGAGGGTATTAGCATTCCCTCCTTGCATCTCTTTTCAGCATGCCAGCAGGGTAAGCATACAGATTACTGCAGAGCCATGAAACCTAACTAAACACATGAACACCTGACTGAAAGAGAGCCTTGTATTAGTTCAGGCAGAGCACAAATGTCATGCTTTGCTAATTTATCAGCTACACATACCAATCTCTATCC